ACAATGTGGAGACATGGGGACAGAACCAGGAGGACATGGGGACAACGTGGGGATGTGCGGTCACAGACAGGACACTGGGGATATGGGGACACAGCCAGGAGGGCACAGGGACAATGTGGGGACATGGGGCTACAGCCAGGAGGACATGGGGACAATGTGAGGACATGGGGACGGAATCAGGAGGGCACAGGAACAACGCGGGAACATGGGGACACAGCAAGGAGGGCACTGGGGACAACGTGGGGACATGGGGACAGAACCGGGAGGGCACGGGGACAACGCGGGGACATGGGGACACAGCAAGGAGGGCACTGGAGACACAGCCAGGAGGGCACGGGGACAATGTGGGGACATGGGGACACAGCCAGGAGGGCACTGGGGACAACGTGGAGACATGGGGACACGGCCAGGAGGACACTGGGGACATGTTGACGCAGCCAGGAGGGCACGGGGACATCGTGGGGACATGGGGACACGGCCAGGAGGACACTGGGAACAACGTGGAGACATGGGGACATGGCCAAGAGGACACGGAGGGCACTGGGGACAACGCAGCACGGCACTGGGGACATGTTGACGCAGCCAGGAGGGCACGGGGACAACGTGGGGACATGGGGATGCGGCCAGGAGGACACAGGGACAACATGGGGACACAGCCAGGAGGACACTGGGGACATGGGGACACAGCCAGGAGGACATGGGACCAACGTGGGGACATGGGGACACAACCGAGAGGACACTAGGGACATCAGGCCACCCCATGCCGAGGACCAACAGATATCAAGGACCCCACAGAGACGACCAGCTATGGGGGAACCCATGGAGATGCCAGCGGGTTTGGGCCACCCCCACGGACCCGGTGTCCCCCTGATGTCCCTCATGTCCCCAACAGGACGCCGTGAAGATCATGGCGAAGGACCTGGTGCGCACGCGGCGCTACATCAAGAAGTTCATCACCATGAGGGCCAACGTGCAGGCCGTGGCCCTCAAGATCCAGACGCTCAAGTCCAACAACTCCATGGCCCAGGCCATGAAGGGCGTCACCAAGGCCATGGCCACCATGAACCGTCAGGTGGGTGACGTTCGGTGGCCACCGTGAGCTCGGGTGGCCGTGGGGACGTTGGGTCATGGAGGCCATGACCACCATGACGTGGCTATGGCAAGGGGGTGTCCCCATGGGGAGGGGATCGGGGCGATGTCCCCATGGCCACCATTGGTGTCCCCAGGGTGATGGTAGCCCCTGGGGGACACCTTCAAAGGCCAAAGTGAACCAGTGCAGGTGGCCACTGGGATGTCCCCAAGGTTGCGGCCACCACGGATGGTCCTGGGGGACATCTCCAAAGGCCACCATGGTCACTGTTGTCCCCAAGACAATAGCCATCGAGGGTGGCCCTGGCTGACATCTCCAAGGGCCACCACAAACCAGCGCAGGTGGCCATGGGGACGTCCCCAAGGTCACAGCCATCACAAGTGGCCTCAGGGGTCATCTTCAAAGGCCACCATGGTCACTGTTGTCCCCAAGACAATAGCCATGGAGGGTGGCCCTGGCTGACATCTCCAAGGGCCACCACAAACCAGCGCAGGTGGCCATGGGGACGTGCCCATGGCCATGGCGGGTGGCCCTGAGGGGGACATCTCCAATGGCTACCATGGCCACCAACGTCCCCAAAGCCATAGCCATCGGGATGGCAGCGGGGGGGACATCTCCAAAGGCCACCACAGTGTGGCCATGGGGACGTCCCCAAGGCTGTAGCCATCGAGGGTGGCCCTGGGGGACATCTCCAAGGGCCACCACAAACCAGCGCAGGTGGCCACAGGGATGTCCCCAAGGCCGTAGCCATCAAGGGTGTCCCCAGGACACATCTCCAAAGGCCACCACAACGTGGCCATGGCGACATCTCCAAGGCCATCATCACCCCGGGTGGCAGCAGGCGACGTCCCAAGGGCCGCGGCCACCCCTGGGTGTCACAGGGGACGTCACCCACCGCGTGTCCCCGCCGTGTCCCCGCAGCTGAAGCTGCCGCAGATCCAGAAGATCATGATGGAGTTTGAGAAGCAGGCGGAGATCATGGACATGAAGGAGGAGCTGATGAGCGACGCCATCGACGATGCCATGGGGGACGAGGACGACGAGGAGGAGAGGTGACATGGGGGCGGAGACACAGCCAGGAGGACACTGGTGACAACCAGGGACACGGGGACACAACCAGAAGGGCTCTGGACAACTTGGGGACACGGGGACGCAACCGGGAGGGACACATGGGGACACAACCTGGGTGAGAGACCCTGGGGACAACTGTGGGGGTGGGTATGGAGACATGGCCAGGGGGACACTGGGGACAACTCGGGGGGACATGGGGACACAAGCAGGAGGACACGGGAACAACTTGGGGACAATGGGGACACAGGGAGGAGGACACTGGAGACATAGGGACCATGAGGACAAGGGACAACGTTGTCCATAGGGACAACCATGAGAACAAGAGACCCTAGGGACAACGAGGGGGACATGGGGACACAACCAGGAGGACATGGGAACAACTTGGGGACAACGAGGACACAGGGAGGAGGACAAGAGACCCCAGGGAGACCCCAGAGGGGATATGGGACATGACCAGGGGGACACTGGGGACAATTTGGGGACATAGGGACCATGAGGACAAGGGACAATGTTGTCCATAGGGACAACCACGCGCACAAGAGACCCTAGGGACAACGAGGGGGACATGGGGACACAACCAGGGGACACAAGAACAACTTGGGGACAATGGGGACACAAGCAGGAGGACAAGAGACTACGGGGACACAACCAGGAGGACACTGGGGACATAGGGACCATGAGGACAAGGGACAATGGTTGTCCATAGGCACAACCGTGAGGACAAGAGGCCCTAGGGACAACGAGGGGGACATGGGGACACAACCAGGGGACACAAGAACAACTTGGGGACAATGGGGACACAA